TTCTCTTCCTTTCTTTCTTTCTTTCTTTCTTTCTTTCTTTCTTTCCTTCCTTCCTTCCTTCCTTCCTTCCTTCCTTCTTTCCTTCCTTCCTTCCTTCCTTCCTTCCTTCCATCTGTCATGATAAATTGGAAGTGTTGGATCATGTTGATGGTAGGGGAAAATAATGGTGATATTTTAATAACTGTCCATGTTTGCATTATCTTCTCTTTCTATGTGGTGTTTATAGCTACCTCCCCCATTTTTCATCCTTTCTTGGCAATGAACAAATGGACTTTCTCTGTGTTTTCCTTAAGAGAGAATAAATGACTTGCATACAGAAGACACTTAAAAATGACAGATGAACACATTAATGGAATAATGAAGAGGAGAATCAGAGGGCACAGGGATAGGGCCTTCTGATCAAATTCCAACTTAAAGCAAGATTTTGCTGGGTTGATTTTTAAATTTTCTTCTAACAGTATTGTCTAAAAGAACAAAGATGTTTGGGCACAAATATTTGCACATTTCTTTTGAAACTAAGAAAGCATCAGAAATGAAGGAGGAAACCCTTCAAATCCTTTTGTATAACAATTAAATCACACATAGCTCACAGCTCTTTTCACCAGTTTAATGAGCATGTGGCCTGTTAACATGAAATGACTCAGCATGAAGATTCTCAATGCCAACCACCCTTTGATTTCTCCATTCCAGAGACTTAGTGACTGTTCCATTGTCCCTGGGCAAGTTGAACATGTTTGGGATAAAGTAGTAGAGCTCCAAGATTGTTACCAATGTGCACTCTTGGGGTTTGGAGAGGCAAGTCTCTTCTCCAGATTAGCAGGGCTTCTTAAACTTTTTCTGCTTGCGACCCCTTTTTGCATTTTGGCAGCAGTCCTTGGCATTGCATGGCCTGAAGGCATGTGCAGATGTGCAGTGCAAAGTGCACATGCTTTGTGTTCAGAACCAAGGCTGCAGTGAAGTTGTGTGATGCAAGCACTGCCAGAAACACCTCAGATTCATTATGCGTTGGATTTTTAATTAATATATGGTTGTTAGGCATTCAGAAACCTTTTACTGTTGCCAATTTTTTTTGACCCCATATGGGGTTGCAACCCACTGTTTAAGAAATGCTAAAGGGGTCTCGGATGGAAAAAGTTTAAGAAGCCCTGATCTGGAGTAAAGAATCTGGAGTATTAGGAGAGATTCTCAAAACCTGATATTAATTGATTAATAAACATTTATTAAATACCTACTATGTGTAGGTGTATGTGTATACCTAGTACTTGACAAGTACTAGGCTAAGTGTTATACATATATATATGAACATATGTGTACATACATATATGTGTGTATATATATGTATATATATGTATATATACATACACACAAAACATCAAAATTGGAATGCAAGAAGTTGCAGTTGTAAGGAGGAGGGAAGGAGTAGCTATTCATGGGGGGTGTGTGTGTGTGTGTGTGTGCGCGCGTGCGTGTGTGTGTGCTAGGAGTTACTTTATAAATCCATTGGTGTTTAATTGTGAATAAAGGGCATTCAAAATTTAAGCATTTTTCAACTCACTTTAGTCATAAGAGCATTTTGTTCTTATCATGCTTTTTCTTGACATTTTTTTAAATAACGCTATCAGTTGCCCACAAAGCTGAGATTTTTTTTTGGTTGCTGAGTCTCACCAGAGCTCCCTTGAAGGCATTCCATGACTACACCCACTGTTGCCTCCTTCTTCTTGTAGGAGTAGGGGACCTCAACATTTAGCAGCCCCACAGGTCCTGAGGGGCTGACTTTCCCTGAGTCTCCTCAGGAAGGCACAGGACACCACTATATTCTACTCACTGTCCTTTTCCTCTCCTATTGTTTTTTTTTTATTTCTTTCTTCTCTTGTCTCTGTTTCCATTCTTCCCAGATACTCAAGTTGGTCATCTTCTACGACAAGTTGAATGAGAAAATAAAAACATTCAAAAGCCTTTTCATTCTTCTTCCCCTCAGTATCCATTTCCACTCATGATGGGGCAGGGGTGATGATATTTCCATAGTCCCTTTTCGCTTGAATCTGATATTCTCTCAAAATGGAGAGATTCCCATTTCTTTACCCTTATAAATCAAAAGTATATTGTTGGTTTTTTTCCAAGTCTTTTCTTCCAAATCCCAGGAACACTTGAATTCTGTCTCAGATACTCAGTTACCTATGTAACCCTAGGCAAGTCACTTAACCTCTCTCAGCCTTAGTTTCCTCATCTGTAAAGTGGGAAAATAGTAGCTGCCTCACAGCATTGTTGTGAAGATTAAAGAGTTAACATATGTAAAGCAATTTGCAAACCTCAACAGTAGAAGGAGCTTGAAGGACCAAATAGTGTCAATTGATACAATACATTTTTTTTATCCATAAGGCAAAGTGAATGTAGTAGATGAAAAATTCTATTTCAAAATAAAAATTATGCTTGTAATTGTATGCAAAGTTTAGCAAAATTGTTAAATTTTAAAAAAATTCCTCTATCAACTGATATAATGGGGACCACCAGCTTCAGCAACCTCCCCAAGGGGTCCAATGGAACAAAAATGACTAAGAACTGCTGCTCTAGAGCTCAGGTTACAGATGAGGAACCTGCCTGTAGATACTAAATGACTTACCCAAGGTCATGAAGCTAGTTAATGGAAAACCAAGATTTGGACCCTGAGCCATTGACTCCAGTGCATTCTCCATTACCCTAGGAGTTTAAAGGTGATCGGCTGTGGGTTTGACCTGTCAATTTCATGGCCATGCTGAAGCCCAAACAACTTGCTTATTTGGTCAATTCAATCACAGACAGGGGTCACGGAAGGTCAGTCTGGTTATGAGGTGCTGCGTAAACACAACTTGAGTGTATATTTCATTTCTGGTTTTGGGGTTTTTTTTGGGGGGGTTGCAAAACAATTGAGGTTAAGTGACTTGCCCAGAGTGTCAAGGCCAGATTTGAACTCAGGTCCTCCTGACTTCTGGGCCGATGCTCTATCCACTGCGTCCTCTAGCTGCCCCTTGTATTTCATTTCTATTGAAGAGCTCTGACTGAATCTCCTCATACCTCATACCAGCAAGCTTCCCCCTCTCTTCATCAAAGTCCTACTCATTTTTCATAGCTCATTGAAAATCCTACCTCCTTCGAGAAGTCTTTCCCAATAACTACAGCCCACAGCTTTCTCTCTGCTCTGAATTCCTATAACACATTATCTTCTTCAGTCACTTCAGCTCTTAATCATGAGCTGAATCATGTTATCATTTAACTATTCTTTCTGCCTGTCTTTTTGTGGGGGAGAGGAGAGGATCTGGACTTGTGAATTCCTGGATCTGTGGGGTCAACAACTCCTGACATGGAAAATCCCCTACTGATACAGATAGCAACTCTTCTATGCCTTATAGTTTCAGAGTTTGCTGGCATACTAAGAAGTGAAGTAGCATGCTATGGTCACATGTGACCACTAATATGTATCAGAGGCAGAATTTGAACCCAGGTCTTCTTGATTCCAAAATCAGCCATACCACAGTGCCTCTCTATATCTCATTTCCTTAAACAGCTTGTAAAAATCCTGGAAGACAGGCATCATCTGACATGAAGTGCCCGGCACATGGTCATTCCATAAGTACGTGTTGAATCGAAGGGCATTGAATTATATATAACTTGTTGTTCAGTCATGGTCAGATCCCCCTGACTCCATTTGGGGTTTTCTTGGCAAAGATACTGGAGTGGTTTGCCATTTTCTTCTCCAGGTCATTTTGCAGATGAGGAAACTGAGTAAACAGAGTTAAGTGACTTGCCCAGGGTCACACAACTAGCAAGTGTCTGATCCAGATTTGAACTCAGGTCCTCCTGACTTCAGGCCTGGCACTCTTTCCACTGTGCTACCTAGCTGCTGTCTATATATAATTTACTTTTCCTTAACTTTATGACCTGTATAGAATCATCCTTAGATTTAGAAAAATCATGTGTAAGTTCATTTCGCTATAAAAACATCTAAGAAAGGCAATTGGCTACTGTTGCCCATCCTCCCCCCAACGTGGCTAGTGTATCTTTTAAAATCAGTTCATTCATGTCACTCAGACTGAGCTGCTTCTAACCCCTGGATCAATGCTAGCAGCAGTGCCATGCTGAAAGCATTCACACGGAAACTGTTCTTGTCATCCTCCAGAGGCAGAGGCTGATGACTTTTCCTGCATTAATGTAGACCTGATCCTCACCTGCTAAGGGTTAGCTTCCGCTGTCCAGTACGTACTGAGCTTTTCGGAATACCTGCCGGCATAGATTACCCAGCATTCCAGAACTTCAGAACAGGAAGAGAGCTCACCCCACGCCATCCTATTCATTTGAATGGGAACCTTCCACAAACAGGGACCGTTACTAGTACTGGCTCACAGAACCTCTAATAGGAGATCTTAAGAAAACTTCAAAGTAGCCACTTTACGGATGATGCGCAATGGTGAAATCAACCTCGAGTAAAGGCTAATACCAGAAGGCACTGGCGCCGCCTGTTAGTAAGGCAGTGCTAAAAAATCCGCGTGCTAATTCTGGGACATGTGCCCAGGGGCAGGCAGGGGCACTCCTCTCACCCTCCACCTGCACTTTCCCCAATTCCCGTCAGTGATATGTGTACAGAATTCTGCAGGCAGCCAGTCTCACCGCCCATGATCGCTTACAGCGAGGAGCTGGTGAAAATTATTTTTCTCCCCTTCCCCTCACATACAAAGGCAAACCCAGGGTTCTCAGGCACTCAGAGAAAGGCTTGTTTTACAATACGGCTGCAAAGCCAGGCGGGTTCTGACTGTGCGGGCTCCTCCACTTTTCATCCTGACGGCGCTAACAGGCCGGGAATGTGCGGGTCAGGGTCCTGAGCAGCTGCGACAGCTGCATCGGGCAAATGGTGCTCGCTTGAACACGCGCGCGCGCGCGCGCTCACACACACACACACACACACACACACACACACACACACACACACTCATACATACACATTCTCTCTCTCTGTCTCTCTCTCTCTCACACACACTCACACTCACACACACACACACACACACACACACACGCACCAATGGTTGCGCCTGGGCTCGCCTTTGAGACTGACTCGCCTTTGATTAGACGTGCCTTCTTCAGCTGCTGAGCTCGCTAGAGCCGCGTTCGGGGTCCACGGGGTGTGCGAGACCCATTCTGCGGTATAACTGCCTGCATTGATTCAAAATCAGCAGCCCGAGGCATTGAGGAGGCACGCTGGACCTTGGTCCGCCCTGCTAAACTGCGACTGCACAGCTTTGAGCTTTCTGCAAACCTCTGACAGAGCTGGGTTTTACTGTCTAATCAATCAAGGGGAATTATTGCCAATCGAGGCTTTGCTAGCCCTCTCTGCGTCCCAGCCCGCGTGAGCAAGTTCAATAGCTAGCTCTTTCCTTCTATCCCAGGGACAGAGGTTGTCCTGCACCAAGCTGAGCCTTGAGCTCCCGTACTTTGGAGGCAGCTCGGAAAGGGGGAGCTGAAGCTTCCATTAACAGCATCTAGAGAGGGAAGGCAAGAAGAAGGAGGGAGGGGAAAGAGGCAAACCTTGAATCACTCAGCATCCCGTGGCTGTCTTCTTAGATTCTCAGAAGGTTACTGTGTTGACTGAGACTTGGGCTGGGAACATACATAGCTTTATTGGGGAAGCAATGCAAGTCTCCATAGCTTGTACAGAACACAATCTCAAGAGTCGGAATGGTGAAGATAGACTTATGAGCAAACAGAACACCACTGCCCCGAATGTAGTGAATGCAGCCCGGGCGAAATTCCGGACAGTTGCTATCATTGCTCGAAGTTTGGGAACGTTCACCCCTCAGCATCATATTTCTCTGAAAGAATCAACGGCAAAGCAGACTGGCATGAAATATAGGTATGGATGCAACATTCCTTGCTTCTGGTCTTTGCATGCATAGAATTACTGATGCAAAAGATAAATAAATCCCATTGCTTCAGAAAGTGATTTTCCAAAGTGATCTTTTTAAAGAAGCTGAAGTATTTAAAATTTTCTCAAAAAAAGAGAGGATTTTAGGAAATAAAGTCAGGATTTTTTAGAAAGTGTGGCCTGTTTTTAATATATTTTAAAGTGTCATAGACACCTAAGGAGTTGTATCAATTCGAACACACAGGAAATAACGGGACTGCCAGGAACTGGTGTTTAGATCAGAGTAGCTTTTCAACGGGAAAATGTTTGTCCTATTTTGTAGCTAGCATGAGGGGAATGATATATGCAGTAGTTACTATGACAATTGAACAGAATTGTACTACCCAAAGTCGTTTCAGAGGTAGTTCTGTGGTGATGCCTATTTTTAGGAAACCCTAGGTAACAAACGTTATATATAGCTCTTTCAGAAGTTTTGTTGAAACAGCCTTATAGATCAATACAATACTGACAGCATTTGAAGAGAAATATGGACAAAGCACTAACCATGGTGCTGAAAACTGAGGTTTCCTGAAGACCTTTAAAAGCAAAAAGACCAACCCACCATACATGCAGACACTAACAAGATTATTACTTAATGTTATCCTGATGTTGTTCCTTATAATAGATGATTTGATCAACTAAGAATTTTATTACATAATTGTTCAACTTCTGTTCACTTGTTGGTGAGCTGCTTTCTTTTTCTGACCCCTTCTGAACAATTCAACCAGTATTTACTAAATGCCCCCACTCTACTTCTTTGATAGCAGTGCACTTAACATTTCCAAAAAGTGTATAGGGAGGAAGAAAAACTGGAAGAAACTATCAATGTACTTGGAAAAAACTCTCTGGTTGCTCTGGTTTTCTTGGTACAAATTTGCTAGTGATGTGTTTGACCTGACTTTTAAATCGAGTGACCTCTTCTCTTACTGGCCAAGCTGGAAGGGATTTTTGACAGAACCAAAATAATGAAGGCAAACAATCATGCCTTATACGTGGTCTGTGAAAATGGAATCTAAAAACATTGTCATTCATCTTGCCCTTTAAAGAAGTTTCTTTGTTGATGAGCCCTTGAAACATTCCCAGGTAAAACAAATCAATCTTTACAGGGTAGGATTTATTTATTTATTTCAGAACTGAGGTCTCAGGTGAAGTTAACAATCTTAGAATATTTTCTAATTATCTATATGTCTTAGTTCATTCTTTGCTCTAGGTAGCAACTTGAATGCCATTGGCCTCTGTATCCATAACCTCATGAAAATTAGACACCCCCCCCAACCAAGTCCCTGCCAATGCCATTTCTATAAATTATATTGCAGTTGTAGACACGTTGAAATTTGCTGGTGCTGTGGTATAGATCCAGGTCCTCTGCTCTGAGGAAGTGGCACTGCTCTCTGGATGCAGTAAGGTACAGCTGAGACTGAGAACTGTTGGCACCAGTATGAAATGGCTAGTGAGGTTTTCAATATCCTAAGCATAAGGTGGGTGCCTTAAGCTTGACTACGCATCTCAAATTTTAGAAGCAACACCAAAGAGGATGATTTTGTTACCAATTAGAAAAAAATCTCTTCCTTTTTGCAAATGTTTCTTGGTTAGTTGTGGTTTCTTTTGTTGGGATTTATTATTCTCTGGACTTCCATTAAGGTTTTATCAGTTCCGTTCTCAATATATGATGTTAGATTTGATAGTAAATCTTTGTTTACCCCATAGCACATTATGCTAGAAAATTTTCTTGGGAATCATTAATTAATGCCAGATAACTGCAACTCTGCCTTTCTCTGTCACAAGTTGACAATTGGTCCTTCAAGTTATTCACTGGTTTATGCAGACTCCCTGAAATGTCCTTCAGTATCACTACTATTCTTCATTAGCAAGTACCATCCACAATCAATAACTCACAGATAAATGACTTCAAACATACCCAAAAAGTCTCCCTGGGATCACAGATCTAGAGCTGGATGGGACGTCAGAGGCCATTTTGTTTAATCCCTTCACTTTATAGATGAGGAAACCAAGGCTCTGGCAGATTAAATGACTTTCCCAAGGTCACCCATGTAGTGGTCATCAAAGGTGGGATTTGAACTCTGACTCCAGAGCTAGCCTTATTCCTTTCCCCTAGATCACACTGAAATTTGTCCTCTTCCTTTTGCAAATTCTCCTCAAAAGTCATAGATTTACAACTGGAAGATCCTACTTGGAAGCAGTCTTGTTTTAATACTAATGCCTCAAGAAAGCCCAATTTTCAGTTACTGAGTAATGTTCTCTACCACCCTACTTATTGGTAAAGTAACAGTCCAGGTTGAAATAATTATCACTATTTAATGACATCCATACCTTTCCAAGATCCTTTCTATCCAAGGTTAGAGAGGAGAGAAAGAGAAAGAAGACTGGTTTTGTAACAATGGGGCTGCAGGTAATTTTCTTGCCTGAATTCAAATGACTTTTTATTTCAAGGTTAGAACCACTGCTTTGCCTTCAGTTACAGGCTCATAATAATTATATTTGCTTGTATATAACTCTTTAAGGTTTGCAGAGCACTTTACAAATACCTCATTTGATCCTCACAGCAATCTTGTGAGAAAGGAACCATTATTTTCCTCATTTTACAGATGAGGAAAATGAGGAAGACAGAGGTTAGCAGACTTGCCCAGGGTCACAGAGCTTGTAGCTGTATGTGGTTAGTTTGGAACTCAGATCTTTCCAACCTGAAGCTCAGTGCTCTATCCTCTGTGCTACCTGGGTGCTTCATGCATTGAACTCGGTATAGGGCTAATTGAATATGTGTCCACAGATAATTCAGACTGTTTCAGTGACTTCCAGTTTCTACTTTGGCTTCACCATCTCTCTGTGAATTCAGGATTCATTCAGCATCTTGGTCACCATCACTATATCTGGAGGTGGTGAAAATAATGATAATAATAATTACATGGGAACAGCATGAGGTATGTATAATCCCCATCAACCTGTCTACTGAAGGAGTTGTATTAAGGATGTTTTTAGGGAGACAAGTAGTTAGCACAGTGAATAGAGCACTGGACCTGGAGTCAGGAAGACCTGAGTTGAAATCTCATTTCAGACATTTACTAGCTTCAAGATGCTAGGCAATCATTTAACCTCTGCCTGCCTAGGTTTCATCGGTTGTAAAATGGAGAAAATAGTACATACCTCAAATGGTTGTTGTGAGGATTAAAGGAGATAATATTTGTAAAGTACTTATCATGATGCCTAGCATATAGTAGGTGATTAACAAATGGGCGTTCCTTTCCCCAGTGAGCCTGAAGAGGGTGAACACACATTCCAATGCTTTTATCCAAATACAAAAATTAATTCTTTTATCCACTTGTGTAATATTCCTGACAATATTAAATAGGGCTAGGGTCTAGACCTGCAATTTCACTGATATGTGAAACTCACAGGTGAGGAAACTACCAATGCAGGTCATCTCATTCTCTGAAACTTACAGTGGAAAAGAGATGGCCAGGACACTGAGATGTTAAGTGAATCTTCTATGGTCATAAAGTCAGTGCATATTATAGGAAGGACTAGAACTCAGGGCTTCCTGATCCAATGAGGTAGTACTTGTAAAAAGCTCTTAGCATAGTGTCAAGCACATATTAGGTGCTACGTAAATATCAGTTGTTGTTGTTGTAGTTATTATTCCTGACTTCAGTGTCACAATTTATCTACTTCTATCCACAACAGAGTTATCAAACCCACAAACATGGCTTGCATATAGCTGCCTTTGGCCTGAACCAGATTAAAGTGTAATTTGGAAACCTTAACAAAATAAATCAAAACACAATAGAACAAAAATAAACTTAATGTGTGATTTTGTAAGTCAATATACAGCCTACAGGGATCTTTATATATGGTTTAGTAACCCAATTTCTAGTTGAGCTTGACCCCACCCATGTTGCTTCTCTGGAATACTAACTATAACAGCAGTCAGCTCAGTGGTTGGAGCTCTGGACCTGGAGTAAGGAAGGCTTGAGTTCAAATACTACCTTAGATACTTACTAATTCTGTGATCCTGGGCAATTCATTTGATCTCTTTTTGCCACAGTTTTCTCATCTGTAATGTGGGGATAACAACAGCACATCTCTCTCAGGATTGTTGTGGGAATAAAATATAAGAATATTTCTTAAGCACTTTAGAAGCTCAAAAGCACTATATAAATATTTATTATTATTACCATAGAATAAGTGCAGGATGGGGAATTGGCCCAGGAGTATCTCTATCCAAACCCCTTCAAACAAGATGGAAAATAATAATAGTGATAATAATAATAATAATAATAATAATAATAATAATACATTGATTTTAATAGAATCTAAAAGTTGTAATATACCTCAGAAACCACTGAATCCAACCTGTACCTGAGCAGATATACAGGGAGACAGTCTGGTATAGTGGCTGATGAGTTAGAGGACTTGCGTTTAAATATTCTCTCTTATATTTACTGTTTAAGTGATCTTGGGCAGACCACTAACCTGTTTGGCCCTCAGTCTCCCCAGTTGTAAGATGAGGTTGGATGAGATAAAATTGTAATAGATTCTGAGTTAGAGTACCTGGGTTCAAATCTCTCCCAATAGGGAGGCTTATCTCCCTGCCTCATTACTCCCTACTCTATCCTCTGCTCAGCTATCAAAGTGATCTTCCTAAGTACACATCTAATCCATGTCAATCCCCCATGCAATCAAGTCCAGTGGTTCCCTGTTGACTCCAGTATCAAATGTCAAATCCTGTATTGATTTTAAAACCATTTCTAACCTGGCACCATGCTACCTTTTCAGTCTTCTTATCCTTTCCTCTTCTCCATCTACATTATGATTCAGTGACAGTGGACTTCTTGCTCTTTAGCAGTTTTGCTTGACACAATATTCTATCTCTTCACACAAAACATTTTCACTCATTGCCCCCATGCCTGGAATGTTTTCCCCTTCTTATTTCC